TGCGTCAACCGAAACGCATGCCCGGCGTGTGGAAGCGTCCAGCCCCACCCTCTCGCTCCCCCGGCCGCATTCATAACCGCCTTGTTATAAACGAAAACTATAACTGTCTCATGAGCCTACATTACCACCGTCGTAAAATGTGATCAAGGCCGCGTCATCATCGGCGTAGGAACTGGAGGGGCATGAGGTTATAGCACCAGTGCGTCGATGCTCAACATCAACACTACAACGGTACACCGAACGAATCGAACTTAAAACGGGACTTCGCCCTCCCGCTCGTTGGCACGTGCTCACGCCGCTGTGCGCACCATTACCATTGGCAGCGCGTTCCTAGCCGACAGCCGCCGCTGGTGAGCGGCTGCGGGAGCCGTCGTGGCGTGCAGGGAACGGGCAGTCACCCGCCGCCGGCTACCCCGACTAATTTATCGCCCGGAGCCGGCGACCCCCTCCCCGTCCCCCACCCTGCCCGTCCGCTTCCACCGAGCTGCCGGGGGTGCTGGCAGCGCGCACCACACTGCAGCAGCGAGGGTGGACTTGGACGTAGGGCAGGTGGAAGTGGATGCAGGACGGCGGCGGTGGACGCAGGCTCGAACCACGCCGAGCGCTGTCCCGACGAGCAGCACCAGCACGGGCGGCTCGCACCGGTGCGGCCTGCCGGTAATGGCGCATTGTCGACGGCTAATCGAGCGACGTGTCACGACACGTGGAATTAGGGCTTTAGTTATGTTTTCGTGAGGCAATAATTCTGTCGGCGTGGTTCACGGGTGCGAGGCGGTCGGCGTTCTCCGCGGTTTATCAGAGTTAATGATGACAGTCGGGGGTGATCAGAGCTTTACACCGCTCCGGAGCCGACCGTAAACGAACCGGCCCACACGTTCAGCCCACTTTCAGTATGGATCACCAGCTTTGGCACCGGCACCTCCTTTGTTCGCACTGAAAGGAACATATGATGTCCATATACGGGATCAATGAAATGCAGCACGTAACGACAAAAAAAAAAAATTGGTGCGATGTTCCAGTTTTGTTGTCACAATCAGCTGATAAAGTCAGCTGAGCTCCGCGATGTAACACGTGCCAGTTCGACGTCCACAAATGATGCCCTCGCGTCACTGGCGGACACGATTACAGTGGCATGGTTAGTCCACAGAATCGCTTTGTCACCTCACACCCTCATCGCCTCAAACTACTTTTCCTTTGGTACACAAACAAAAAACACGGTAAGATTAGACCACACTGGTCTCCACGGAAAACCGTTTCCCCTTGCTGGCCATCGCAGCTGCATAACCGGGCTCTCAGTGAAGTATTTAGGGCTAACATAAAAAGCGCTATACCCAGTAAAAGCCAGGGGAAGGGGAAAGAGCATCTGTGCAGCTCTCACCGTATCTGGTCAACTTCGGTTTTTATTATTGCATTTTCCAGAAGCCGGTTTTACCACGCCACAACATGGAGTTACTGTGATCTAGAAAAAAAATAGGGACAGCCCTGCCTTTCCTTGGTTTGGCAGTCCTTGGCTAGTGACAACGTGTTCACTCGACGTGTCCTCTCACGTGCCACCCCGTAAGCTAGCAGGACGCCGTAAGTCGTCCAATGCAGACGGCACCGTGTTGACCTCGGGTCTTTGACAGCCGGGCGGCCTGCTTATTCGTGGATCCCAAGGCGCCTTCAGCGCCGGCGGGACGGAAGTGCGAACAGCTGGGATTGTGGCGACCAGATCAAAGGAGCCGCCGCAGCCCCACAGGCCGGCAGCCGTGTAGACAGCCATTTGCGTGCAGACCTTGCTGCATAATTCCCACATATAATTTGTGCCCGACCACAGCGTGGGGTATTGTGTGTGCGTACACGGGTGGGGGTGGGGGCGGGGGTGGGGGGGGGGGGGGGGCGTTTTCGCAACTGGCCCGCTTGTTTTGTTCATTTACGAGTAATTTCAAGGTCGTGCTCAATGTCAAACCGTTCTGCATTTAAAAACTGTCCAATAAATTAATGGATTGATTTCATTGAAAATACAAAACGCTTTAGTTTCCGCAACTGTGGATATCGAACTCCTGTTCATGTTTTCTTAACTATGTTTAAAGATTTCTACCAGATTGTCTAGATGAATGGGTTTTTGGGATCGGGGCTCACGATAAGCAGTGCCTGTTTTCCGAGAGTTGTTTGCGTAGAAGTCGAGTAACAACACTTCACACAGGTGGAGGGACCAGCTCAGCTTCACTGCTTTTGTCTTTTTCTGTTGATGTGACAAACGTGTCATAAACATCTACGCGACGACATGCATCCAGATCCCTTTGTTACCAAGCATATGAATCCCATGACTGCTTTTGCATGAAATTCGATTGTGGCTTTAGGGTCAAGTACGAAACACAGGAAGCGCCCACTACAAATGCTGTAGTAAGTAGTAACTACCACCTATCAGCTACCAACTATCAGCTTTCCAATTCGTCTCACTCTTCCACTGTGTCGAACAAATCGTTCTACTTCCAGCATCCTTGTGGATAAAAAGTGCTGAAAAGAAAGCACTTAAGTGTGTTAAGTCAGTGATGTTTTAAGTCTGTCAAAAACATATTTAGAATAAGGTCAGAAATGTCTAGTGTGTCCAAGCTGCAGGCCATTTAAGAGAATTGTGAACAGTTATATTTACATCACATCATTTCTTATTACATTGCACCACACGTTCCCATGCCTACTCGCGATTTCCGAAGAAAAATGGAGGCTCACAGAATTGCTTGGCAACATCTATAAGCATTCACCTCCAGATCACCTAAGACGCGCAGACTTCTTAGTCACAAATGGACGAGCGGGGCCGTGTCCCACATGGTGCTGACACCAAGTCTCCAGGCCTTCCTTCTGGTGGTTGTGGGCGCAAACTGACAGATGTGTAATTTACATTGAGGAACCTCATGAGAAATGTTTTGCAATACGTTTTTACCAGGAAATGAACGTGACAATATTTTCATGGAGATGTCTTCTCAAGTTGGTATTGAAATCGTTTGACCACGCTCGGTCGAACGCAAGCCATTTAAAGTCCCACAATTCTGCACCCGCCCAGTTTCACTGCTCGCTAACGCTGACGACCGATGCAAAAAAATCTGTTTGCCAAGACAGCGGCTGCGCTTCCTAAATCTTGGCATGAATTTGCAATACAAATAACACATGAGCTAGCCCCAGGTTATGCCATGCTTTTGCCTTATGTCGTATGAAAAGTATAACCCAAATGGTTTTTCTACATTTGAAGTTAAAAAAAACATTGCACAACTTCTTTTGGGTAGAAAACAAGTGATCTTTTCATGGCTGCGTTGAATTTGAGGCACATCTGTGTGAACCAAAAAACACATATCTGTTACCACTATGACTGCGGTAGGCTTGAGATATTAATAAAATCGGACTGACTAAACAAGCCTAACCTGATAACCAAAACGCAACCTAATAGCAGGCTTCAATCTCCGGTAAGACAGTTGATTAGGCTGCCCGAAAACACTGTTTGCTATCATAAGCTAGTCTTAATCATATCATATCATGTCATAATTAAATGATAAATTAGTCTTAAATGCATTTAAACCTTACTCAGATTCACCGTTTTTCATGATACAAACGGATCGGGAAAGCGCCAAAGCAATTTTCCTTTCTCTGCTATATCACATCCAATGACGAAAGAGCTTCGCGAAAGAAAAAAACAAACACTGTATTTGCCTCAACAGCACGTTGCCAATGGTTGCAATGTTTGGGCTACTAGATCACAACTGACCCTACCAGGACAGCTCAAGTATTCACTTCTCCAGAAAACCAGACGACTTCCGCTCTGCGTGCCAATATGTCCAAAACCATGCAACGTAGCAGTATGCAACTTATACAGACATATTTCCGATTTCATGCAGAGTACGTCGGATCTGGCACGTAGTTAATGCATAACGGGTAATATTTCAAACAGCTTGCTTGCATTGAACGGGAGATTAGGGATAATCACCATCCTTTTTCAGACTTCGCTAAGGAGACAAACAATTATTTGACAATGGCTAAGGGAGAGGTGAGATTATCTAGAAAACTCCCGTTCATTACCAGCAGGCTGGTTGAGGATCATCCCTTCACATTAAGGGTACAGGGTTCCGCAAATATAACACTGCCAGCCTGCCGTCCGTGATCGGCGGATTCGTCGGCTGCGGCCGGAGCTCGCAACGGCCGTAGATCGCTGTGCATTACCCCTAAAAGTGTTTATTTGGAAATAAAAAGGGCTAGAGATAAGCCTTCGACGTCAAAACACGCAAAATGACTACTCCAGGGGATGACTTAGGCGTGATTGGGCTTAGCAATTGGTACGTGATTACGAGACATGTCGGGGAGTTTCACGAGAAAACGATAGGGGTCGCGTCGAGTCCCCTTCCCCCCCCCCCCCCTCCAGCTCAGAACGGTGGTTACAAAGCAGCCGATCAGTTATTTCTGATGGCATTGAAGTGATGCCTGAGGCTGTGAAAACTAGGTTATCTCACAATGTGTATTTAAGGGCGATGCACCTTGGGGCCTGTTAACGCATGTCAAGCAGTCGTTATCAAGTAATAGCTCCGATAAAATGGAACAGCACGCATGCCATTTATCCACATAACCGAAGAAAAATGCTGAAAACCTTTTCATGACTTCACCCTCAACTCGCTGTTAACTGCAGCACACCGAAACGTTCCCTTCTTTGTTCTAGCTGCGAACAAGACAGTTTGCCTTACAAAAGGCATGCATTCGTGGCCAACTGCGCGAACATTTCTATCGTTGTTACCGAACGTCATTATCGCAGCTTCTACTCCTCTTTTGTGCTGCTCCGTTGAACAGGCGCAGCAACACACAGCAACCTTTATGCACACGCTGGGGACGACATTGTGCATTCTTACAGCGACTGAAGGCTACGCAACTTGGCGTCGAGTTCGGTCGATGGATGCCGCCGGGGGTTCAGCAGGGAGGTGGCCACCTCAGTCGAGCCGGCCGTCCCTCGGGGGGTGCACGTGCTGCCCACCCCTGGCACCATGTCGCGCGTCCTCTCACCCCGGACCTCGGTGGCGTCCGCCCGCTCCCTACTGGTAATCGGCTGCCTCCTGCTGGCCGGCTACCAGTGCTTCACGCTGCTGCAGCTGTACCTCAGCGAGCCCGTGTCCATGTCGCTCTCGTTCACACCAGGCAAGGAGGTGGCCGTGCCTTCCGTCACCATTTGCGGCTTCCCTTATGATCGTGTCGCGAAGGCGCACCGCCGCCCGCAGAACGTCTCGATCGCGGAGGGGTACTGGCAGGCCAGCGTCAACCTGGGCCGGCAGGTGAAACGCTGCTTCCCCAGCTGCCGGCCGGACCAGAACATCCCATACCCTGGAGGGAAGACTCCGGTGAAGACCGGAAGCTGGAGCTCCTGGGTGGCGACGGTCGAGCACGCGCTGTGCCACACCTTCACACCGAACGTCACGTGGGGCCAGCTGGTCGATCTAAGCTCCTCAAAGAAGTTCCAGTTGAACATCGAAATATCAGTGAAAGCCAACAGAGCCACTACGTGGGATCACCGTGTTTTAATCCACCCGAAGCGACGGCCGCTCCTGACCAACCTGGACATCAAAGGAGTGCAGGAGGATCCGCGCTTTGAACTGAAAGGTCCGAACATCATGCGATTGCAAGTTTCCTCACGCATTCACGACCGCGAGAGTCTGCAACGTGCCAGATGCAATTCGTCTGCCGGCTACGGCTACGAGGCCTGTGTCGTCCAATGCTACCACACCCTCTGGGCGAACACACTGAACTGCTCGACTCCCGAGATGCTGGACGATTTCCTGCACCTGCCTGAGTGCTCCTTCCGTCAGCTGGGCAAGCGCAGCGTGTTCGCGCGCGGCTTCCGCGGCTGCCACTGCCTGCCCGCCTGCAGACAGCAGAGGTACGTGGTCGACGCCACCGTCCAAAAGCTGCCGGAGGGGATGTTCAGCAGCACTCTGATCCGCGTGCAGTTGGGTCAGATCCCAGAGGAGGTGGCGACGGAGCGTCGCTCGTACCCGCCGGCCAGCCTGATCAGCGAGATGGGCGGCTACATCAGCCTGCTGCTGGGCGTGTCCGTCCTCTCCGTGGGGGACGTGCTGAGTCAGATCATGAGCAAGTGCCGTGCCTTGTGGTGACCCGTCTGCCGTGACCCCACTCAAGACGAGATCTACCCGCGCAGATGTTCTGTAATTTGACCTTTATTAAAAGTTTAAATTGCTTGCAGTGGTTTTGAGGGCTCTGGCGGCGGCCACCAGGTTTATTTCTTAAATGTCCTGTTGTTGTTATCGATAACTCGACAAGCAGGAATATTATCTCCCACGACATATAGGCTGGGAAGTGAATCGCATCTATGTATGGAATGTGCACTGCGTGTCATGGACTCCAACATACCTTTGAGACAATGGTCACAAGTTGTGATCCACACGACCAAAATCGTCCTCGTGTATGCGTCCTAAGGCGTCTTCTAAACTTCGTCAGTTTACCGTATATGTACGTACAAGTCCCTGGAAGCAGGTGTAACCGTATGGCAAACCTTCGTTCAGATCAGGGTAAGCCAACAATACCCCTGACGCTAAAATGTTGCGATCTATATAACAGACCAACTGATACCGCGCCCAGTCGGAAGGTCGCCCAGGGGGTCGCTTGACCGCCCGACCCACGATGACCTACTGCTGGGTTCCCGTGTTTGGCGTGGTGGCCAAACTGTGTAGTGATTAACAGTTCAAATAATTGTACGTGGAACACTATCTAGCCTGCTTTACACAATCAGCGCACGCAGAAAGAAATAGCTTGATGCCACTCGCTTGCATTGAACATTGCAACGTTGTCCCGCGGACAAATTTCGGTTCATTATTTGCTACAGAAACAGATGAAATGGACAGAATGTGGGGCATATCACCAATGCAATGTGGTGTCGTGAACAATTCATGTTTCGAAATCGCAGCACTACTGCCAGATGAAAATAATTCCGCGGCATCGAATCACACAAACACCGTTCGTGTTAGATCTCGGATTGCAAGTGCCTAATATTTTTGCAATTTTGTTAAACCGGTCTGAAATTGTTTGACAACTTTTCCAAATGATAACGCCCTGGTTGAGATAGAAAACAATCGACTGCAATGTGCGGCAGGTTATCAAAAGCATAGAGTGGGTCAGGTTAGAGTTAACACATGTTTTCTTCAACAGTGACAAGTGCATTCACCGCACAGTCGTGGTTGTGGTGGTTATACAAAACAATCCACATCAGCGGTATTTGATCAGTGACTCCTGACTGATGTATGCTAAGATATTTTTCTGTCGATCACAACCCATTCTGAGCATTCCACAAAAAGACAGCTAATTTGCAATGGACAGTCGTTCTTCCGCAGAAAACAGTTTGAAATCTGCGAAGCATTAAAGTGTTTTTAATCTCAATGATGAGAGTGCAGGTTACAGTGCCCGAAATACTGGGAGATATCAAGTTCTGGAGGCAGGCTTGGTCGGCCTTTTCGGCTGAGCCCCAACTGATTTCAGAAAGTGTCACCCCTGGGTGGAGCCACTTTCTTATGTCTGGAAGGTGAGCTATGTTAAAAACCGTCGACTTGACATTCTGTTGATGAGCCTCTCAGAGATGCATGCCTTGAATTTCAGCGTTGAATGCAAACTGAGAAGCTGACGCCTTTTCCGCGCGTCAGCGGAACCATTGGAACTCCCATTCACGCTACACAAAGTCTCTTCCTTTGCCACCGCACGCATTCGAGGCAGGTGCGAAATATTCTGATTGGGTTTGAAGGGGGTGCCCGATGATTAGCCGCTTGCATTATGTATGAGGTGTGAAAGCGTGGATTTTGTTTATATGCTCTGGGACTGGGTCTGAGCCTCCCGTCCAGGACAGACGACTACGGTCAGTCGGAGTTGCTCTTAGTCGAGAGGTCAGCCGGGGCTGCTCATAGTCGAGAGGTCAGTTGGAATTGTTCTCAGTCGAGAGGTCAGTTGGAATCGTTTTTAGTCGAGAGGTCAGTTGGAGTTGCTCATAGTCGAGAGGTCAGTTGGGTCATCGAATTTTTGGCACTGCTCAGGTTGTCACTGTTCCCGCATCTCGGGGCGACAATGTAAACCCTTGGCGGAGGAGCCGGGCCGGCTCCTCCGTCAATTGCTTCAATGCAAATGCAAATTCAATGAGCTCCTTTCAACGAGAGCTTGAGCCATGAAGAGCGGGTGTCACGGAGACAATGACGATCCACACCATTTTTATGCGACAGACATACGTACATACATACATACATGCCACATATACATCTACCCATATACATATACCCAGGAATGGCGCTGAGTAGTATTTCGGCAGTGCGTTTTTGTTTTTCTTCAGATGAGCTTCAAGCGAGCGCCCCAATATCACAAGACTTGGCTCGTGACACTAAGGCTGAGAGTTCTATACCGGGTGAAGCCACCGTTTATTGGATCAAATGTGCCCATGGCCGCATATGTGTAGTTACGTCAGAGTGCGTGCGTCTAAAATTATCACCCCAGCCACAATATACCACGCACACATGGGTTAGCCCGCAGACGATCGATTCATTGTGTCACCACCACTCTCAGAGCCATGGGACCCCACGCCGAGCAGTGTTTCACCACTGCCGGGGCCCGCTGGTGCCGACGCCAACTCGGGCAGTGTCTGCCACCTCCACCGGGCCGCTGGTGCCGACGCCGACTCGTGCAGTGCCTGTCACGTCCGCCGAGGCCACTGGTGCCGACGTCGACTCGTGCAGTGTCTGTCACCTTCGCTGGGCCGCTGGTGCCGACGCCAACTCGGGCAGTGTCTGTCACCTCCGCCGGGGCCGCTGGTGCCGACGCCAACTCGGGCAGTGTCTGTCACCTCCGCCGGGGCCGCTGGTGCCGACGCCAACTCGGGCAGTGTCTGCCACCTCCACCGGGCCGCTGGTGCCGACGCCGACTAGCCGGGCCCTGCCGTGCCTGCTGTCCGCCGTCGCTGGCTGTCCAGGCTGACACCGCGGACTTGGCAGGCGGTGACATCCGGTGCCGCGCCACGGGGCGCGCTGTAAACACACGTCGGCGCTGCCGATGGCCCCAGACGGCTGGCGCGATGGCCGCAGCCGCAGTCTGCGAGCTAGGAGCGAATAGACGCTGCAACGCGGGTGCTTCTGCGTATTCCTTTTCTTCAGCTTGGATTGAAACGACACATTTGAGTCCTGCTCCACCAGAAGCAAGTGTAACGTCAGCAACAAATGAGTATTCACTTTCGCCTTATGGGGAAAGCGGGGACAGTTCAAGCGCTAAGTTCCATGTCTCCCGGTAAATTAAAATAAACATGGTTGGAAACGGCATGATTCAAAAAGCCAACATACCAAGTAAAATGCAATGCTTGCTACGCTTTGCATGCTTGGCATGTATACCACAAAACACCTGAAAGACCAGTAAAAAACATTGCCGTTTTGCCCCATCCCGTCATTAAGATAAACATTTGGAAGCATTCACACCTTCAGAGAGATGTGAATGACGCTTGAAAGGAGTAGAAATGGGATGCATTACTTCAGCGAACAGCACATCCCTTATATTTCATACACTCCCTTATCCTCTTCTCGCCTTATCCTGCATCACCGTGACGCCGCGCTTGTCAGGGCTGGCTGCACGCGCCAGCCACGAGACGGCCAAAGTGCCCGGCACAAAGTGCCAAAGAGTCCTCCGTCCGAACGCCGACCACACCTCCTCGGAGATGGGTCTCTGTGAGGGCAAAGCCTCGTCGGATGGCCCCCAGGCGCATGTAGTTCTGTCCCAACGTTATCCACTCCCCTTCCTTCCAAAGCCTTGAAATGACTACCACAGGCTCTAATACAAACAAGCAAGTAACCAAACAGCTACACCTGGCTATGGCCTTTTCCTTCACTGGTAGCCCATGTTGGCTAAGAGATGGACCGCCTTTGACTGTCTAAGTGGTCGCCACCTTTCTCTTAAGAAACAATAAATTGGTGAATCTTCCGACCAATCGATAGAACGGAGTGTTTTCTGGTCGAGGCACCAATATTGATATTGATGATATTGACACCTTAGAAAGATTCTGGCTGGGTCGTCAACCAACGGAAATTAAAAAAGACCGAGCATTATGTCTTCGGATCAAGCCATACGAAAACCAATCTGACTGAGACAACCAAAGTGAAAACTTCAACATGTGTTTATTAGCACATTCCGGCATGCAACCATGTCCATGTGCCAATCGAAAACGGCATCGTTGTTATTCATCAAACTGAATTTACTGCACTGCATAGTACACATGCGAGTCAGTTATGAACAACACGATCAGCCACATGCGGCTAGGCGCAGCAGATTTTTCTTGGTTGAGATACAAGTCCGCGCGCTAAACCGCAGGGTGCTGGAATGTTGCGGCCACCAGACAACGATGGAAGTGGAGCGGACAGCAGCAGCCGCTGTCTTTGTGGAGTTCCGAGTCTGCAGACACTTGGATCTGCAAACTCAACGCACTGGAATGTGGAACGGGGAAAGATATGACAAGATTGCCTTCTAAGATCTTTGGAAAGATCGGACGCACTAGTAATTCCCCCGCCATTTGTGTCAACCCTTCCCCGAGGCGGCTTTCCGAAAATAAGGCCAATGGCATTCATATATCTCATTTCGGTTATAGTGCGTGAGCATGAACGAAACAACAGCTTGAATGTTGCTGGGCTCTATTCTATATTGGTTCCATTTCATGTGGTCAAAAGGAAAAATAATGCAACCTTCCCCAAAGTTACTGAGGTCTGGACTCCACCGTGGAGCTCAATGGTGCATACGGTCATACCTGTGATTAGTTTCGATGTAGGGCTAATCATCAGCTAAAGGTGCAATACCACGTGCGTCGTGCTAAGGGCATGCAAGAACCTGGTATGCACGGACAAAGAAAAACACGATGGCGGCGAAAAGAACGCTCCTACATCCACAGTCTGCCGGCGGCGCTACATTTGTGGCATGGTATCGGCTCCAGCGAAAGTAATGATCACTGACTAGGTTCAGGGTTTTGAGTGGCCAGTCTGTTATTGCGCTATAAATGCCTTTCAGTATTCGTCGGGCTAACTCCCCAGGTATTTCCCTTGAGTTTTTTTATTGGCGTATTAGTTCTTTGCA